CTCCTCCTCCTCCTCCTCCTCCTCCTCCTCCTCCTCCTCCTTCTCCACGGCATTTCGAGAGAGGGCGCAACTTGACATGTCAAGGCGCCCCCACCCCAAGGTGGTGTCCAGGGTCCCCCCACGAGCTGCGTATGAACGCTTCCAAAAAAGAGGGCGGCAGCGGGCAAGAACGAACGAACGAGTCACCACTGCGGACAGCTGTCCTGGCCTATTCAAAACCGAAGCCGTGGCCTCCTGAAACCTGTACGTATAGCCAGGCCCCAACCACACCGACGACTTCGAGAGCTGCATCAGACTTTACCCAACCGCTTCGCCAACACCGTCTTCCGCATCCGCAGAGCGGCACGCAAGCTCCACAAGGCAGATGCTGAGAAATCCGCCGGCCCTCGTGGGTCTCCGGGCGTATGCGATTACCCCCCCCCCAATAGAGGAGGAGGAAGAGGAGGAGGAGGAGGAGGAAGGAGGAGGAATGAGGAGGAAGGAGGAGGAGTAGGAGGGAGGAGGGAGGAGGAGAAGGAGGATGAGGAGGGGAGGAGGTAGGAAGAGGAAGGGAAGGAGGAGGAGGAGGAGGAGGAGCGAGGAGGGCGGAGGATGGAGGAGGAGGAGGAACAGGAGAAGGAGGAGAAGGAGGAGGAGGAGGAAGAGCAGCAGCAGCAGCAGCAGCAGCAGCAGCAGGAGGAGGAGGAGGAGGAGGAGGAGGAGGAGGAGGAGGAGGAGGAGGAGGAGGAGGGGGAGGAGGGAGGGGGACCCCCCCCAGGGACGCCAAACTGCACGTTTGATCCCCCCGTTGGATGAACTCGTCGGGCGGGGGGGGTACGGTCCCGCCCTCCCTGGGCTCCTCTGAAGGGGCCCTGGGACACACAAAAAAATAGACACGAATAACAGGATTCCCCCATATCGTTTCCCATATATTCCGGGTGTTCGTCCCCCACACACACACACACACACACACTTCCCATATTTTTCAATATGTTCTGGGAATCGACGATTACTTGTGTCTGTGTGTTCTTGTCCCTCGCGATCCTCCTGCGCCTCGAGGATGGCCTTTTGAGGGATCCGGGACGGCCAAGGACGCCCCACGAGACCCCACGGCAGCCGTAGAAGGGCCCAAGGGGCCACGGTCGAGGCATGGGAATGTTGCCATACCAGTCCTTGTACTTCTGCCAGGCGATGCGGCGCACCGCTCTCGCAGAGGTCCCAGCAGTGACCCTTTTTCTTCCTCCGAAAGCTTCTGGAGGGGCATGGGCGGGTGGAGGCTCACCGACACAATGGCGCTAGTGAGCTCTAGCTTGCTGAAGTCGTCGGGGACGGTTGTCAGCAGTCGGTCTCCATCCGCAACCTTGCGCAGGGCAACAGAGGTGAGCTCCTGGGCCATGATGCGCAGGAGCAGGTGCAGCTTCCTCCGGAGGATCACCAGCCTCTGAGATGCCCAGGAAACTGCGCGCCCTCTTGGACGTAGCTCCATGGGAAGATCGCGAAGATTTCGGAACTCCCAGGAACGATCTGGAATCATCCCCCATTTCCTTCGACACGCTTCCGACAGACTTGTCCCCGCCAGTCAGTCGACCTCCTCCTCCTCCTCCCCTGAAGACGCCAGGAAGGACAAGGCCTGCTCACGCCATGTAGTGCCCACTGCCGCTGGCAGCGCTGTAGTCACCTGGAGTCGTTTGCAATGCTTTCTCTGGAGCACCAACCACACCAGTGGACGCTTGCTCTGTGGGGTTCTCGCCGCGGGCCCTGCGCGCAGCGCCCAGCGGTCGTCCGTCGCGCTAAACCTCCACCCTGGCCGCCTGGACTGTGGCTCGTAGGGCGGCCGCGCTCGCCAGACAGCCCGCCTTCGCCATAGCCTCGACCAGCACGGTGACCCCGTACTTCTTATGATGTTTCTTCAACCCCGCGGCAACGAGGAGCCGAAGCTGCGCTTGAACTGCACCTCCTGACTGGTCGTCGCCAGCGGTGGGGGGCTCAGGGGCGGCCGAAGCTTCACGAAGAGCTCGGCCCACGCAGAGGAAGAAACAGTCTCCTCCACCCCCGGATTCCACGCCCTTGACAAATGTCCGCCCATGTAGTTTTCACCGCGCGGCGGGCGCGCTGCTGGGGGGCGTCGTCCGCTGACGTTCCCAGCTGGCGGCCCCCCACTGGCGCTGCGTGAGGACCCCCGCCAGGCGCCTCTCCAGCTGCGGCTGTGCCAGGCTGGGTCGGTGCCATGTCCTCGTCGGCCCGCTGCGCGGGTGGGAAGCCCGCGCGCGGCTGCGCGGCCCCCCAGGAAGAGGCAGGCTGAGAAGCAGGATCATGCTTTTGGTCGCCCGCGCTGTTGTTGTCACCGAGATGCCGCTGGCGAAAGCGTAGACCCTGTCAGCGCCCGCGCGGCCTGCCGCCAAGTCAGCTCCGAAGAATCAACGCTGGCGCCCAGCACTGCGCGCCTTGCTGGTGTTGGTGAAACCACGCTGCTTGGCCCACTCCTCAAGATCCTTGGGCCCATCCAAGAATCTGGCGTATTCACTGCGCACCACCTGGGGAGGATGTCAGTCGCCAGGGCCTGATCCGAAAAAACTCCAAAAAGGCGCATCTTCTGATGGGCGGTAACAAAGGCGCCCTGTCACTGTCTGAGCACTCGTCGTAACACGGGTAATGTATGCTTCGGCAGGTTCGTCGTCTCGCTGCTTGGACCACCGCGGTGCTAACATGGAGCCCTGGAGGTTCAAAAATACCCCCCGCGGGAGCTCGAACTGCATGAATCGTTCCAGGGAGAATTTCTTCAGAATGAGCAAGCAGGTGGGCTCGCTCCCATAGTTGAGTGCACCCTTGACGTTCAGCACGTGCTTCTGGCGGTCCGCGTTAAAGATGAGCGCCGCCAGCGTCACTGGACGCTGGGCAGCGCGTGCGGAGAGATCATCTGCAGCATAGCCCCGCGCCAGTGTGAGTCTCACCTGCACAGTCTCCAGGGACACCGTCGTCTCGATGGGTTTGTCATCCGTCACCCCAGCAGGAAGACCCACCCGCTGCGGCGGAGATGCGCCCAGCTCCAGGAAGAGGCACCGCTGGGTCGCCGCGCCCTTGTCCTGGGGGGGGCCTTCACCAGCAAGTATCCGAAGGCTGAGCCCTCCAGGACGCGCTGCACATTGAAGATGAGGATGGTGGCCGAGCGCTCGGCGCCGCCCAGGGCGTCCAGCCACCTGCGCGTAGCATCATACTCCTTCTCATTCTGGCACACAATGAGTGGAGGACGCTCGTAGTTACAGTCTTGCAGCCTCTTCGCGGACCAGATTGGGCAGCCTGCACCCCATTGGCTCTTGACTACCTTGATGTCCTTCTGCTGCTGCTGCGGTTGCTTCTGCTGTTGCTGCTGTTGCTTCACGGCGGGTCTGCCGAGGAGCTGCTGTAGCTTCTCGCGCAACTGCTCGTTCGTGGGCTGCTAGCCCGTCTCATCGACCTTCTTGATCAACTCTCTGGCGTCTTCCAACAGCTTGGGACCCCGCTGATGCTTGCACTGCTGACGCCTGGTCTGGAAGCCACCTCCCACTCTCCCCACGAGAGACCGAAGTGACTCTTGCATCTTCTGGATTTCGCTGACAAGATCACGTCGGCGCCCCTTCACCTCCCATCCGTGCTAGCCCCCTTTTTTGATCACCTCCTCTCCCAGTGGATCCTCGACGGGGTCCTCAAAGAAGGCAGGTGAGGTCACAGTAGACGCTGAACTCTGCAAAATTGTTGACTCCCCGATGCCACCGACGGTGAAGTCTGGCTGTGAGCTCTCCCTGCAGCACGCCGCCCAGAGAACTCTGCACAACATTCTGGATCTATACCACCGTACAACGTTCACCCAGATCTGCATCGAGCAAGGGGCTCGACCCACGCATCCCACGAGGAGGGTCTGGGTATTGTGCGTCGCGATCACTATGTCCATGCCGAACATCGGGTGTTGCAGCACGTCGTGGCAAAAGCTTCGGGAAGGCCCCACACAACCCTGCAGCTGCCACATCTCCGCCGTGCGAGATCTGTGGAGGCTCTGACCCCCCACGGAGTGCTCGAATGAGATTTTTGTTTGCAGCGTCGTGTTGGCGCTGTGGCCGATCTGTGCAGGGCGTGGTGCACGTCTCCCCCCCATCCACCTCGACTTTCGGGACCTCCCGACGCACGGGCAGCGTCCGAACGCCTGTCAGTGGCGGCCAGGGCTGGCAAGGTCGGCCCCGCTCGCGCCGGTCTTGCCTCGCTCCCCTCCTTTTCAACGGCAGCGGTGAGGGGGGATCGGATCATGAAGGGGCCCTGGGGCACACAAAGAAGTACACACAAATAGCCGGATCCCCCATATTTCCGCAGATGTTCTGCGGTTTAGTCTTCCCCCCCCACTTCCCATGTTCTTCCATACTTTCTTGGGAATCGAGGATGAATGTGTGTCTGTGTGTCTTTCCCCTCCTGATCAGCTCGGGGCCAAAAACACGGAGCTGGGATCGGCGACGCGTCGCCGCTGGAATGCCGACGGGTCCCCGATACAGAGAGTCCGCACGTCCCTGGGCAGGGTGGGGCTGTCGGGCCCCCTCGGCGGTGCGTGGACGGTTGAGCTGCATGGGGAGAGGGCGAGGGGGAAACCTCATCGGGCTCTCTGCTCCAAGCGAAGGGACGCCCTGACCGGGTCCTGCCCATGCCGTGGCGACGGAGGGCGCACCCCGAAAAGCCAGAGAGCGGAGGATCTGCGCGCCGGGGGCACTTGTACAGGCCCAGTCCCCCCTCCCCCCCTCCCGTTGCCCCTGACTCCTTTAGACTTAAGTCGAGCGTGTCCCCCTACAGGGGGATGTTTTGTAATATATGTTTTACAACAAAAACAACACAAAAAAACAACAACAAAAAACAACAACAACAAAAAAACAAAAAACAACAAAACAAAAAAAACGCCTGCCCCAAAAATCATCAAAAAAAATTGACAATAGTCGCCGTACTATTTTTGGACTAGGTTTGAATATTCCCCCTGTGGAGGGACACGCCCGACTTAACTTTAGACGAGCGCGTTCCGCTACTCGCTAAGCAACTGCTCGCAAATGGCCCGGATCCGCCGCGGAGGATCCACGATACATCCCATCGGAGCGAACGTGCATGTTTCGGACGTTTGCGAGCAGGCACTTGGCGACTGGTGGAACGCGCCTGGTGATCCTGGGGAGACAAAACGTGTCCGCGTCTCACGGCCGCAGTACTGGGAGATGGCGTTCGTGCGCACCTCCAGGGAACCGAACTCTATACACCGACGCTTTTTCGGGCCCTGCACTGAAATCTGCAGCCAGGAGAGCGGATCCTGGTGTAGACAGAACCCTGGTGTATCCATGCTTCGCTGCTTCCCGGGGGAAACGGGACCAAAAAGTAGACACCACACCACCCCGACGTCGTCCCCGACCCTCACGAAGGTCGTGGGATTGAAAAACAGCCCGCCACTGGTACGTGATGTATACAAGGCAAGTTTTAATACATCGGATTTTTAAAATATAGGATTTTTAATACATGATTAATGTATGAGTAAAGTTACGCATGAACTCATCATTGTTTTTAATACAAAATCCCTGCAGTTGAATACGTGATCCGCACGCGGAGCATGTATTAAAAACGGCACTGTATGTTCCAGTGCCCGAACCTCCTCGCTGAGGACGCCGCTGCCTCCCCACGGAGCTGCCGGTGTCGACGCTGGCCCTGTCCGCCCTGGCCGCCCTGCCCCGCGGCCGCGCCTCGCGGCCTCTGGGCCCGCAGGGCGCCGGGGGGCCCCGGCCGCCCCGTCGCCCGCGGCGCCTGCACGCTGCGGCCGCCGCCCGGGTGCCCGCCGAGCCGGCCGCGGCCTCTCGAGCGCGGCGCGCTGGTGGTCGGCCTGGGCGCTCTCGCCGACCAGCCATCACTGACGCCCCTGGGGGAGCCCATCGCATCGGCGGTCTCTCGAGAGGGGCGTCGAAACCGAGGGGCCCCCCCCCAGAGGGACCAGGAACACGGCTCCCCCGGCTGTGGCTGGCCTGTCTCTCGATCGGGGGCCACATGCGAACCCTACCCCTACCCCCCACGATCTCTGAGGGGGAGGGTGGGGTTCACTTCGTTCGGGAACTCCCGAGCGAACAGTGAACCCCACCCTCCCTCCCCCTCCGCTACTTCCTAATCCTCACGTTTCTCCTCCTTCCTCTCTCGCCTCCTCCTCCTCCTTCCTCCTCCTCCTTCCCCTCCTCCTCTCCTCCTCCTCCTCCTCCTCTCTCCTCCTCCCCTCCTCCTCCTCCTCCTCCTCCTCCTCCTCTCCTCCTCCTTCCCCTCCTCCTCCTCCTCCTCCTCCTCCTCCTCCTCCTCCTCCTCCTCCTCCTCCTACTCCAGGGTAGGGTTCGCATGTGGCCGGCCGGCCTCTCGATCGAAGGCAGGAGCCCGGGCGCCTCCTCGCAGAGGCGCCCGCCGCCGCGGGGGAGAGAGGGCCTCCTCGCCGCCAGTGCCCGCCGGCCCCGTGCGCTCGGCAGGGCCTGACGGCACCGGAGGCTGGGCCGCCCGCTCGCGCCGCGGGAGAGAGGGGCGCGGGGGGCGCTGCGGTGCAGCCTCGGGTTATGTCGGGCGTGTCCCCCTACGAGGGGGAGTTTCGACGAAAACTAAAAAACAAAGTACCCCAGAAATGCCCCCCAAAGGACAGAAAAGACTCAAAAAATAGTACCCAGACTATGTTTGGACTGTTTTTTGATTATTGTGGGGGTATTTTTGATTTTTCGTCGAAAATCCTCCTGTAGGGGGACAGGCCCGACAGAAGCCTCGGGATTGGGAGGTCCCGGGCCGCCCTCAATGTGCTCAGCAGACCTGGAGCAACGAAAGCGGATCGGCTGCATCACCCGATGGCAGAGGCCAGCGAGAGTACGTATATCCTTCGAGCATGCCCGGAGTGGGGTGTCGTGGGCTGGCCCCAACTGGCTCCCGAGCCAACGCGGCGACGACGAGACGGAGGAGCAAGAGGAGCCTGGAAGAGTCGAGTGTGAAGGGGCCCCAGGACACATAAATCCGCCGGCCCCCTTGTGGGGCCACCAGGCTGCGAGGCGCGGGTTCGCAGTTTCCAGTACCAGTTGTAGCTTGTAGTTTCCAGTGTTACAGTTCTGCTTCTTGCTGGTTACTGTAACTAGTTGATTGACCGCGCGAGGGGGGGGAGGCCCAAACAAGACTTTCCAGCGTCCCCTGGGCGCGTTGTCTGAATTACTGGGGGGGCTCGAAATCGACACCCCTCACGCAGATCCGCGGGGTCAGGGTCCAACGCAGATCCGCGGGGTCAGGGTCACACAGGGGATTTGCCACATTTCTGGAATTCGGTGCCACCCCTCACGCAGATCCGCGGGGTCAGGGTCCAAAAACACATGGGATTTGCCACATTTCTGAAATTCGGTGCCACCCCTCACGCAGATCCGGGGTCGGGGTTTGCACATTTCTGGGCCACCCCTCACCCAAGGGTCCAAAAACACATGGGATTTGCCACATTTCTGAAATTCGGTGCCACCCCTCACGCAGATCCGCGGGGTCAGGGTCCAAAAACACATGGGATTTGCCACATTTCTGAAATTCGGTGCCACCCCTCACGCAGATCCGCGGGGTCAGGGTCCAAAAACACATGGGATTTGCCACATTTCTGAAATTCGGTGCCACCCCTCACGCAGATCCGCGGGGTCAGGGTCCAAAAACATAAGGGATTTGCCACATTTCTGAAATTCGGTGCCACCCCTCACGCACATCCATCGCAAGGCGTGGTAACCCAAACTGCGAGTACTCCCTCGGCCCTTTAATCCCAAGGAGTGGTAACCAAGCTCGTAAACCATACACGTCTTACCAATCGCCCTGTGTGGTAACCCCTCTTGTGATCAGTTGGTTTTGGCGATTGCGAATCGGCCTCGCATGAAGTTCCGATACTGCTGCACGACAGCGCCAAAGCCTCATGACTTAGCTCTTCCATGGCCCATTCTCCGAGAGAGGGGGCCGGCGGCAGGGGGCGAAGCCCTTACGGATAAATACACACAAATAAAATATTCCCTATATTTTCCCATATTTTCTGGGCTTCTGTCTTCACCCCCACTTTCCATATTTTCCCATATTTTCTGAGGAATCGAAGATTAATTGTGTCTGTGTGTTTCTTCCTCTCCTGAGAGTGTCCCTGGTGGGCGCTCCCAGGCGCCTCGCTACACTGGTGGGCTATGCTGCCCTGAGGCCGACAGGGACTTCGAAACGCGTCCAGCTGCGAGGCCCTCGATCTGCTGGTGTCGCTGCTTTACGTGTGTGGTCGTTATGCGCGCCCGTCGTTGCACCGCGTCCTCGAGTCGCCTCGTTGTCAGTTCGCTGGCCTGCATACGTCGCTATGCGTGCTGTCGTGCTTGGACCTGGGCTCGTATCTCGTGACAGTCGCTTGGCAAGTAGGCGTTGGCCGTCTGCAGATGCTGTATTGCACATGCGGCCTTGTGTAGTCGTGGTTGTAAGTTTGGGTCGTTGGTGTTGTCGTCCTTGGCTGCGCGGAGTTCGTGAATTGCGCAGTCGCTTGCTTGTAGATCGTCAAGTGCGTCTTTAAGTAGTGTCATTAGCCTTAGGGTCTCTCCCTGCTTATCGTGGATTGCTGGACCCGTTTTGAGCGGCCGGAGTGGTCTCTTTCTCTTGGGTACTTGCTGAGCTGTACGTCTTGTGCACGGGGGGGTGGCGTTTGTGGTGTTTGTGGGCTTGTGTGTTGCCTGTGGTTGACAAGCTCCTTTTCGACTTTGGTGCAGGTCTTTGCCAATCGTATGTTGTCGTCGAATCGCTGATGGGCTTGTTTGAAATTCGCTGCTGCGACCTCTGTGGAAGCCGTGTAGTCGTTCTTGAGTTGGCGCATACAATGTAGTCGTTCATGTTCTGTTCTTTGGTCGAGCAGTTGCCGTTTGATGGCGGCTAGATCGCGTCGAAGGTTGTCTGTTTCTTGTCCAGCTTTATCTACTGCACGTATTTGTGTGGCCAACTTTATTATGTCTGCTGTCTTGGATGTGGTCCATTCTCCCACGTCCAGTGGTGTCCAGGTCTGTCTTTTGCCTGTACGTCGTCATGGCATGCTTCAGGGATGCTGTCCATGAGAATGTTGCTCTCTCTGTTGGAGTAGGCTAGGTGGTCAGAGCTGCTACCAAAGATGGGCTGTGGTGGTTAAACGCTGTGTCTGTTGTGTGTTGAGGCCTGCCGTTGTTTGGTCCTCTGCCTGGGTGTGGACGCTCGTTGTTGGTTGGGTGTGTACGGTTGTTGGGTCCAGAAGATTATCGCTGGTGCTGCCTGGTAGCCGGTGTCTCCTTTTTGATGCTTGTGGGGCGCATGTGATGGGTAGTAGGCTGAAGCTTGCTGTTTGGGTTTG